GCTCCGCAGACGGCAGGCAGATGAAGGGTGAGTAGGAGCAGCGGGCGGAGATGGAGTTAGGGGTAGCCGTGCCCCTCGGGACCGCCCGTGCTGTCGAAGCGTGGCTTTCTGCCGGTTTGCGAGCTCGCTGTCACGGGGGGGAGCCGGGCTTCGCGGCGAATCGCGCTGTAAATCCCCCGGGGTTTGCACCGGAGCGAATCCGGAGCGCGGCCGGCGTGGTTTACACGCGGGGTGGCCCAGCCGCTGCTGTGCCGCTGGGTCCTGCGTGGGGCAGCCCACGTGGAGCGCAGCGCTCAGGCGGCGTGGGGAGCGCCCGATCTGATCTGCACCGCTGCCAGGAGTCCTGCAGCACCTGCGTGTGCTCCCTGCAGGCACCTGAGAAGTTGTGCTGCCCACAAAATGAGCAGCCTGCGGTTGAGTGCGTGTGGTTTGGGAAGATCACACAGCTTTAGGAGCGTGTAGGACCAGAAAACACTGCGTAGAGAACTTAATTTATCGATTGTTTTCTTGGGGGGTGCATTGTCTGGCACTCTTTTGGCCATTTTTGAGGTTAAAATCCTAGGCAGTGCAAGTCATGTGCATCAGTATCTGTATGCTTATGTTCAGTGGGAAGGAAATCTACACTTAGAGGATGTATCTGAATAGGGAGAAAAAAAAAGCCACCGGTAACATAGTTCTTCTGCGTGGGTCATATGAAGCTGGCTGAGATACATCTGGTCTGAAAAACAGGGGTCTGACCAGACCCATCCTCCGATTCTCCAGAAGTTTTAATGCTGAAAATTCATAACCAAATTGAGTAGTTTTAGCCCATATCCAGCAGCTACACTTGAAAATCTGTTTGGAAACAGGCTTAATTGCAAAGACAATGCAGTAGCTAAGAATGATTCCCAATAATCTCAGAAGTGCTGCCAGCATAAGTATAATGGAAGTGGGTTTGATTCATGCCCCTAAAATTTATTATTACTATTTTTTAATACTTATGATACTCTCCAAGGCTCAGCTTCATGGTACCAGTATGGATCAGACCCATACTTGACACTTTCTGAAATTTGTCTGAAAATGTTCTTGTCTCTCATCACCTGGATTGCAAAACATGATATTAAAAGTTTCACAAAATTGTGAGCAATAGAGCAAAGTGAATGTCCTGACCTTTGTAGACTTTATGGAGTGTGTGTCTGGGAAGAACTGCATACCAGGATGCATTGAAGGACTTTTTTTTTTCTTTTTGGTTTCCAGTTTATGGCACTCATGGTACTCTTTCTGATAAACCCAGACATACTGCTTCTGCACTGCAGACTTGGACCTTCCCTGTTGTTTTACCCACTGTAGTAATGGGTGAAGTTAAGAAATCTTGAAATTAGTTTTCAGATCAGAGGAGCATCTCAGCTGTTACCCAAGGCTTTGGATAACCAAAGGTCTCCTCTGCCAATCAACAAGTCCTCCCTTTGTTGCCCTCTAGCCTTGCTACTCTACTCAACAGAAAGATCTTCAGCTCTTAGCTTCTGAACATGAGGGAGGGAGGGACGGAGACAAGCTTATCTAGCACTTCTCTTTCTGTGTTTTCCATTGGCTCAATTTACTCCTTTTCTAAAGAGAGTGCTTGCATAATTTATCCTTTCGCTACTCTTAGCTGTCTTCTGGGAGCCTTCACATGATCCTTCACACATTTCACAGTTATCTGTGGGGACTGATTTTCTAGGCCTCTTATCTTCACTTGGAAGATATGGCCAGTTTGCCCACACTGTTATTGAGCAACTCCAGGATCCAGAACATGTCTCTTAGTTTCTCTTCCTTGGATTGCCGTGGTATAGAGCTCATGTGCCCGAAGTACACAGGAGGCATTTTGGCATTCCACTTCATCCTTGCCATCAAAATTATCTGTCACTATCTAGGAAGTAGTCAGGGAAGAACTTAAACAACTGCTATGCAAAAGACCAATATTCAAACATTACAGAGAGTTTGATTTCCATTTCAGCAAAGATGGATAATATAACCCAGGGTAGCTTGTTCCTGATCTGCATAAATTTGGGCAACAAAATGGTGTGGTAGCTACCAGAGCATTGCAGCTAGAGCAGCAAGAAAGATACGTGCTGATGTGTGCTGCAATATGACAGGACCTTGCCCAGGTCAGCTTGCTGGCAAGACTAGCAATTAGTTTGCATAGTTTGCATTCCTTTCTTTTCACTGCTATTTATACAGTATTTTCCAAATATATGAAAGAAAAATAATAGATTCTGTTGACCTTTCTAATACAGTATATGAAAACTGTGTTATGTATGATTCTTTCTCAAGGTTTCACGCAGTAACGGATAATTCTGAAACAATTTACTTGATGTGTCTCAGTATGTTTCAGATAATTAGCTTTTTCTTAAATTACTGAGATGACTGAAGTGCAGAGTATAGAGGGACTTTGCATGAGACAGATAAAGGAGCTGAAATCCACATTCATGAGCTCTCGGTTGTGTTTCTCAGTATAGCTTTACCTGCCTTCTTGAGGAAGTGCCTGCCACCAATCCAATGACTGAAACTGCTGCTGTGACAATACTTTAAAGGTCTGTGCAGAATTGCTGCATTCAGTCACCCACACTCACGCTCACTCCCTAGAGCTCTAAGGAAATCCCTTATTTATGTCCAACACCTTTGTTCCAGCAGCCTCAGGGATATAACCTCTGTGCTCTTGGTGCAGCAAATTAAGATGGTAAATTCCAACAAGCCCCATCCCACCTCTTTACTCCCATCTAAAATCCATTGAAATAGCCATGCAGCTTTCAGAAACTAATTTGACTGTGTACCTCTGGAATAACCATGCTTGCTTCTTGCAAGTAAAACTCTTTTTTGCCACTTTTCTCAAACCAGCCAAGTGTACCTGGCAGTAGGTGCTCTGAATGTTTAGTAAATAGAGAGGCTGAATATTTTTTGTAATTCAGTTGTGCTTGGAAAGGATGAAATGTTCTGTAGCCTGGAGAGTACGTGTGCATGTGTACGTTTGTATGTAGGTGAGACTGCTGCTCTGAAGTTTTTACAAGGGTTGTTCTTCTAAAGAAAGTCTTGCAAGAAATGAGCTAGAGTTGCCTCGTGCTGTGTGTGGTTTTTGACCTTGCCTGTTTTTTTAAAGGACCAGAGAAAAAGGGCAGCTTGAGGAAAGAAACCTAACTTTGCAGTCTGAAGCATCCCACAGGTTTGTTCCACCAGTTCCCAGGGATGTGAAAGCAGGTGAAATAATGTATGGGGCTGCATAGCGGTCTGCATCCAAGCTGTCCCCCAGCAGCTGTGCCATGCTGTGTCTCCAGTGCTGCAGACCTCAGAGATGATGTTTTGAGCCCACCTGAGAGCCAAACTGCCTCAGGAACCAAGGCTGCTTCCAAAGCAGTGTCTGGATCCGTGCTGCTCAAAGCATGGTGCCACCTACACCCTGTAGGCTTCTATTTCCTGTTCTGGTTTCAGGATAGGTTTCCATGAATGCAGACTAGAGGATCTGCTGATATTTTGGAGCCCATGAGCAGAACAGGGAGCTTACAGAAACACGCGGAGTCTCTAAGAGACAGCCTTTCATGGCCTGGTCCTGTTAGACCAAGGGAATGGCTTCCCCATTTAAAGTGTTGGGACTGCGCAGAGACAGCAGCTCCACCAATGGAGGATTTACTTTATTACCAGGGCTTGATATTACGTGGGACTTGGCAGGCAAGTGACAGTGTGCGCTGGGAGGCAGAAAAATACTCAGAATAAAATCCTCAGGCAAGTGGTGGGCAGGCTGTCAAGCTGACTGAGTGAACCATAAAAAGAAGCGAGTAGGTGCCTGTTTCCAAACAGCAGTGCCGTATGAATGGCAGCACTCGGGGGAGCCTGTCACTGGGAGTAGAAAGGGCTGCGAGTGGAAAAGTGTCAGATGGAGAAAAATGGAGATGTATTAAGAATGCATAGAGGAAGGGCCTTGCTGCTCCTGGGGTCGTGCTGTAAAGGGTTAACCCTAACAGGGACGCCTGGGCCTGCCCAGCACAGAGGAGGAAGGCCACAGGGGCTTGGAGAGGCCTTTACAATGCTGCTGTTTTCTTTTTTTTTTTCCCCTTTGCTGACAAAAGAGTGAGGGATTTTTCAAAGGTATTAGGTAACAAGGCTCCAGACTACACTTCTTCATGCACCAGAGGGTTCATGTTACACAGTTACCTGAAGATAAGCCAGCACTTACATACCCTCTGTGTCTGCCTATCTCCTTGCAAAAATAGTCATGGTCTTTGGTCTTAAAGTAGATTTTAAAGTTGTAAAATTTATCTGAGTTTTTTTTTCCTTTTATATTACTCAAAGTTTGCTTCTTTTTCTGTTTCTTGAGAAATGGTTTATTGAAAGAGTGATGTTGTATTTTCCAGCCTGCTGTCCTGAGACGTATAAAATCCAAGGGAGATCTGTGAAATTTAAAACCGTCCACAGTCAGAAATTGAGGGGGGGAAAAAAAGCCTCCAAAACCTTGTTATTATTTCATAGGTGTTTCTGAGCATGTTGAAAATGCACTGAAAAAAGATGAAGGATTTCAAATCTGCTTTGTCAAACACATTTTCTTGGTTGGTGTCCTTCAAGATACTGGTTACAGGGCCATTAAGTGTACTGGAGGCTACTGAAGAAAACTGGTCCTTCTAGAAAGCATCCTGCAGGTTTTAAAGGTCAGGGACTAAGGGCCCTGTCAGATCTTCTTTTCAAGTCACATAATGGTAAAGATGATATAAAAGGAACATCTACTTTAATCATGTTCACTTTTCTGTGAGGCAATACCGTGGTTCCGTGTTAGAAGTAAGTACAGTGCATAGCTTATATAAACGATTATTTCCAGGCTGCTTATTAGAACATATATGCCTAATGATGCAGAACATGCCATTGAATGCTACCAGGCTTTTAAAATAACCTAGCTTTTTTACCAATCTGATTTTCTTTTTCATATTAATGTGAATGTCGGGATTAAGTTATTAAAATATTCTTTTTTGTTTGTTTGTTTTGTTTTTTCTTTTCAGACCAGGGAAAACACAGTTTGCATGTAACATCACTAGACGATGCAGAATGTCTCCGATCTAAGGAGCTGCTTTCGACTCCGAACAGTCACACTCCTAACTCCAAGTCCTCCCGCAACATCCCTCGAAGACATACAGTAGGTGGCCCTCGCAGTTCCAAAGAAATACTGGGAATGCAAACCTCGGAAATGGACAGAAAGAGAGAGGCTTTCCTTGAGCATCTGAAACAGAAATATCCCCATCATGCTACAGCAATAATGGGACACCAGGAGAGACTGAGAGATCAGGTATGAGAGTAAAATTCGTATCTTGCTTTTTGTTAAACAATCCTTTTAACTTCTACAAAACTGAATGTTACCTCACCATAGAAGGTGAGAATGTAACAAAGCATAAACAGATTTTTTGTTTGATGTAGTTAGAGTTCAGTTTCTCCCTTGAAATCTGAAGAAACAAAAATAATGACCAAACTATTTAATATTACCTTGGAGTTGTTTGTTGAAACTGACATTTTTTAGGTGCTTTTAATTTTTTTGCAATATACAGGGAGAAAGTGATGAAGGTGAGACTCTTGATCTTAGTACATCGCTCTCCAAATACTTTTCACAGCTGAGGGGAAAATATGGAACAGCTGTTAACTTTTGTTACATTTTCAGTATTGGCACCACTGCCCAAGAGAAAAGAAAATATCTGAAGACCTTGTCTGTATGCTTTATCTGGCTCTGTTACCCTTTCATTTGCTTTCTTTTCTATTTTTGAGTCTTTTAATACAGAGTGGATGTATCCACAGGTATCTGCCTCCTCCAAAGTGTCTTGAGATCAACATCAGTCTGCCAGAAGCATACCTTAAGGTGGTTTGCCTTTTGCCTGCCTGCAATTGCTTTTCAGCAGTGCGAAGTAGATTCAGGGTCAGAGAAGACGTGACATGTTGATGTATTTCTCCGAACAGGTGGAGGTTGCTGTCACACTGACCTGAATTCAGAGAATGCCAAGCAAGGGAGTGTTCACAGCATGGCTCTGGTTTTGGGTGCAAAGTTAGAGTTTAATCTGTTAAACCTTACAGACAATCTACATTCTATTCCATAATACATTTTTTCAATAAACTAGCAGAATTTAGACTTCACTCTTAAAAATCACACATCCATTATTCTCAGTTTAACAAATGATCAACAGCACACCTGTTAAAAGGTTTTTTTTCCCCTGATGTTTTGTAGGTATTTCAGCACTGGCAGCAAATTAATTGTAAGTAAGGAATAAAAACAGGTTGGCAAAATATTGTAGTCTGTTATGGGAGTGCTTACTGAATTCCTAGCATCTTTTGAAGCCTTCCAAGCCTTTGGAGATCAGAACAGTTGTCACTCGGTACCTCCCCCTTACAACTCCTCTTTGACGGGGTCTCTAGAGATCCCAAGTGCTATCCCTGCTTTGAGCACAACTGCTAGAATCCATACGTACCCTGATAAAATTGCTGAAGACTTCAGCTGTAACAAGGATGATCTATTCCTTATTTTTAAAACAGCTTCCCTGCTTTCCTTTGAAAGTCTTGACACCCCCCCCCTTATCTCTTTCATGAACTTTAGTGACTGTGTGGAATGTGCTGGGTGGTGGATAAAGATAGCATACAAATTAAATAAAGGGGGTGGGGGTTGAAATTCGGAGATTAGATCTTCTGGAGTCATGTAAATATTTAGTTCCAGTGTTGCAGACACTGCAAACCCAGTTTGAACAGCCTACAGCATTACACCCTACACATTTTGTAATTTGATCCTTTTCTGAAGGCAATAAATTACAGAAGGAATGCAGTAACTGTTCCTGCTATTTGTTTAAAATGTGTCGTCCTTGCTAATTTATTGAGGGTAAAATTATGTGAATGTCTCCTGCTTCTATTTTTTGATGATTGGATATATGTAGGGTATGTAATAAGTGTGAGCTTTAAAACAAAATTACTTTAAGATTACAATTAGAGCATCAGACTATCTTTCTTGGGCATGGGAAAGACTGAAGACTCCATCCATTCAGCACAACTTTAAAAAATTGTGAACTGAACTGAAGCCATGTTAAAAACATAAATAAATGTATCCGTTTGATTGTAAGAAATTTGCATAGTTGAAATGTGTCAAATGTCTGACTCATCAGATACAGTAACAGATTGTTATGGTCATGGCCTTGCAGCTCTGAGGTTTTTTTCTTACGATTTGTATCTATGCTTGCACACCTGTGTGTCTGTGTATGTGAGTACAGGTAGGAGTATGTGTATACAAATATGTATATATGAATGTATAACGCAGTCTTACTTAGCAGCTTCGTGAAAAAAAAAACAAACATAACTTTGCTTTTAAGAGTGTGTATGTGTGTATAGCACAGAGACTTCCTTTTTAATTTCCATGTATGTGTATGTATGTGTTTAGCAGGGATACAGAAGACACAAACTGCATACACGTAGTAAGTATGCATGTGTATCATACATACGTCACGTACAAATTTGGTGAGATGTGTGGGAGGACATGAATTTAAATGTCACTGTTAAAAATAATTTTCTAGGCTGCTTTGCTCTCTTCTTTTTTCTCAGCTACTCCAGTATCTGGCATCATTATCCATGGTGGGAATTTCCCCACTGTGAAAGATCTATCAGGGTAGTAGCCAACACGACACTATTTTCTAATCTCTGTGTCAAACAGTGCAGCTGGAACATGAAATATCCCGGTATGTACAGTCAAGAGATTGTCCCTTGGATATCATGTCATTTGTCTTCTAGGTTGCTCTAAACCCTGACAAGTCCATAACCAAAAAAAATGGGCCAGAAATCAAGATCGGTAATTGTTTCATTTTTGTGAGCTTTCTTCTCAGGTCTGTTTCAACCATCATATCTGAGTATAGCAAACTGACCCCTAGTTTGCAGCAAGTAAACATTAGGGGAAAAAAAATGTGTTTGATGTTGTCAGGTCATATTGTATCACCTCTGCCAGCAAGGTCAGCTCTGAACATTGTACGTATCTTCCACTACGTATTAATGGTTTCCTCCAGGCTTCGTTTATTCAGATAAATCCCTCCCTGGATGTGCCTCCTTGGGACCCATTTCTACCCTGATAACCTACCACAAATCAACAGTACAATCACAGCCAGGTAAAATGTCAGCGAGGATTAGTAATGGTTAGCTAATGTGGTGACCTGAAACCTCCCAGCTGTGCACACAGATAGTCTCTTCCCCACCCCACAGGTTTGCCATCCTGCATGTGGTATCCTATCCTGGAAGGAAAAGCTCGTGGAGACAAGGGCTGCCTTTATTTGTGGAAGGGCTTTGGGATATGGTTGCAAGGCAAATAACCTACCGCTGTGTAACAAACCAGGGGGTGCCCCCCAGCCTGGTGGTTTTTCTTCACACCATGCTTTGTCCCCTTGCAAGCCAACCCCATGGCTGGGCACCAAAGCACCCTCCACCTGCACGCCTGAAGAGACGAGGAACAAAATCCTTTTATTTACATAGGTAATGCAAGCTCTGGCAACAGCTTCGGACACCACGCATCTGCCAGGTCTGCCTGATCTGTGTTGATGAAAGCAAGGCGCTGACATAATCTCCAGGAAAGCTAGAAAGAAAAAAAATAAGAGAAATAGAAAGGTGGTCCTGTGAAGTTCAAGCTAGGGTGGATGGTCTGCTGCTGCGCTCAGGCAGGCTGTGGTCACCCACCCAGGTGGGGTGAGCCCGGTCAGCCCAGGAGAGGGCTGAACAAGTGCAAGAGCGGGGCCAGAAGCTCTGGGGATGAAAAAGAGTTTGTGATTAAGAGGTTAAAAATGCTAACCTTGCCATGGGAGGGGGGTAATCCCTGCCGTGAACCTGTTTTACAAGTCACCTCGGTAAGAAAAAAACCTTTCTGAGGGGCAGAGAGCAAAACCGAGCATGGAGAAGTTTTTCTGAACCAAAGCTTTTGAGCATGCCTTTAGAAAAGGAGTTGGAAGATGTTTGCAGCGCGTTTCTTTTGTTGTTTAACCAGGGAGACACAGTGTGAGACTGCGGGACAGGACGAGGAAGGGTTGTGAATGACTCAGCCTTTCAGCCAGGGCTCTGTGAAGTACAGATTCATTGGCAAATAAAATCAGATTTCCGTCAACTTTAAAAAAAGAGGGGGAAAACCCAACAACCAAACCCTCCTGGTACGTGCGCAATGCCGAGTGCCTAGAAAATGGTGGTTGGTGTTTTTTTTTGTTGTTGTTGTTGCGTTCAGTTAGGTCTGAACATGACAGGTAACTCTGGCATCTGGGCAGGTGTGGTTAAGGTTTCCGTGGAGATTCATGATGTCATGCTTGATAGAGCATGTCAAGGCAGCTAATTTCACATGTAGATGTTCAAAAAGTCCCATAGGCCAGGAGTGAGCTTTATGCAAATACCAAAGTTACGCTGCAAAAGGGCGAAAGAAAATACGGCTACGAGATGGAGTGCCTCTTACCTGGCAGCTTTCAAGGATTATTACAGACTTCACCATAAATTCAAACTTTTGGAAGTAAAGGAGGAGGATTTCTGACCGTCTCCCTGGCCTCACCTCTGGGATCTTACGTTTCGGTAAATAAGTCTTTTCTCTCTCTGCCCCCACTGCAAAAAAAAAAAAAAAGGCTTTTGAAATCATGGAGTTTGCTTCACCACGTTGCTCCTCCTGGCAGCAGGGCTGAGTCAATAAAGCAACTTTTCTGGCACGGCACGTTCCCTTTTCTCTTTCGAAAATGAGTTCTTTATTGAATGAACTGAGAATTCGGAATTATTTGAGAGGTATTGTAAAGTATTATGTTGATTATGTGAATCATGCTGCAAAAATGTCCTAGGTAGTGTTTTGGAGGAGAAACTAAGAATTGAGACACTGTATTTATTTGTAGATTATTGCCAGATGTCTCTCCTTTAACTGTTAAAATAGAATCCTAAAATTACAACAGCTTTTATTCCAGCATTTGAGGTCTGTAAAAATACTGAGGGTTTTAAAAATTTGTTTATTTCTTTATTTTTATAGATCATAGTATCACTTGGTCAAACTGAGTATGTTTTGATATCCTAGGGTAAATCTGAAGCATTTCTCAATAGATTGTTCTTGGGCAAAAGTACATCTTGTAAAGGGCAAGCATATTTCAAGGTAAAAGTCTAGCAATAGAAATTTTTATAGCTAAAACCAAAAGTTTGTATGGGCAAAAGGTGATATTATCAGTTCCCCTAGAGAGAGAATAAAGTCCCTGTGTTCTTTAGGAACCACTCTTGTGCTTACATCGACCCAGACAGATGAAGTAAACATCCGTACCTGAGGGGTAGCCCCCCCATTGACATTGCTGTGCTTTAAACGTGAAGCAGGTTTAGTTTTCTTGGTCCAAATCGCTCAGTTTGGAAGGGGTTAGGTTTAGGTGGGAGGGGGTGGGAGGTGGCAGTCACTAATGTCCAAGCTTCAGAAGGTGAACAGAGAAAAAACGTAGGTTCTGCCTAAAGGCACCTGAGAAATGTAAACTTGAAAGAAACTTCAGTTCGGTGTAAATCCTCAGTAGATTTAGTGAGTAAGAAGGCTGCAGAATATTGTAAACACATTATCTAATTCCAGGTGAAAAAACAGTGTATAAAGAATTTCTGACGTTCTGCATTGCTTGATCAGGGAAGGTAAAATAAACTTTCTCAGAACCTGTATTGATTATTAAAAATAATGTATTTGAAAGGAGTACAAAGTGAAGAAACCACTAACTAGGGCTTTATTGTTTTGTTTTTCTTTTCATTTTTCTCCTCATGGCTCTTTTGCTTTCACACCCCTAGATTATATCTTGAAACCAAGCCAGTAATGGGAATGTTATAGAATTAATTTCAATTTAGCCTTTCTGTAGAAGCCTGAGTGTTAATTATTTAGTACTAGAATATGTACAAATGGCAACTTATCAAATGAACTGGCATATTTTCCATTTGTTACATTATTGGTGGTTGATGCCATGGAATATGGTAGGGAGAAATTGATTTAGTGTTAATATTGTGTTAATACTTACCTGGTCTGTACTGATAAAGTTAGGAAATGACATTTGATTTTAAGATGTACATCATATTTGTGAAGAATGTGATTTTATTCTGAATATATGTTTCTGCTGATCTTTATTGATAAGAAAGTCCATTTCATTGGATTATGGATTCTCATACTACCTTGCATAATGGGTTATCCAAAAATGCCTATTTTTGTCTGAGAGGTCAGTGCTGTGCAGACAGATGTTATTGGTATTTCAGCATAGGGTGTAGGTTTTTTTTTTTGTTTGTTTTGTTTTTTTTTTTCAGTAAGATGTTTCAGAAGATTTCTGTGAGCTCCCACTTCTCTGCAGAAGGGTTACTACCTTGCTTCTCGAATGAGAAGACGATTCCCCCTCCTCCCCAGTTAGTCTTTGTAAGCCCCACGGAGCATGTTTGGGAATGAGGGACCCTCCCCAGCATCTGCACGTGTCCCCTGTCTCATGTACCATCTGGTGCAACAATTTACTGCTTTCCAGTGCCTCAGTGGTAAGGGCAATTGCTCCTTTTTACATTGTTAAAAGTGCCTAAGTAAAGCCATGAAAATGAACATAGGAAACATGATTGCAAGCTTAAATCTCTGCTGGAATCCAAGCCCTTAGCTTTTGTTTATGGAAGGACATGAGATGACACGTCCATTTGTTTTGAGTTGAAACATGCTCTTTAGCCCCCAGATAATGCCGCGATTGCGAGATACTTATAAATAGCTAGATAGATAAATGAACAAAGGGCTGGTTCATTAGGGTTTACTTTGTATTCACCATAAATGAAAATGGTTGAGGAGGACAAATGTTCCTAGTAGAATGGCTCAGTGGAAAGTCTTTCAACTTTGTATTTTAAAAAAAGTAAAGCAAAAGTATATATTAAACTACTAGCCCTAAGGTATCTCTTGGTATAAGTGGAGTTTAACTAGAATAATAATAGTCGCTTTGATAAACAAGTTCCTTCGTGTATATCAATCAGTTAAAAGTAATAATAATAAAAAAAAAGCTGTTCTTTAAAACAAAACAAAACACACAATAAAAAAACAAACAAACAAAGCAAAGCTGCAAAAAGGCTAATAAAGCAATTCCTTTTTTTCTTCCCTCCCTCCCCCCATGCAAATCACACACCGGAGCAGTTACTTTGCCCCAACAGGATCAGTAGCTTTTCTTCTGTGGCAACGCCTCTGTATTTTAAGTAACATGTGTTGTTTGTAACTCAGAAGTCCAGGGTGGTTGTTCATATGCTTACCTTTGTTCGTGTGAGTTTTGTACATACATTTTTCTAACCTAATTTTATGACAAAGTATTTTTAGAATCCTTTGTATCCGGCTGACTGAATAAAAGCATGCAGTGAGCTTCTTTTAGTACTTAGATCTAGATCCAATAAAGAATTTAGGACTTAGTTCTCTGTTAAAGCAAAATTCAGGCAGCTTCATTCAAGAGCTATCCATGGAAACCTCTCCCAGTTATTGCAGACACCTGAGATTCCTTAGGTTTCTGAAATTTAAGCTTTTCTGGCAAAAAAATAAAATCCAGAGGTGTTTATAGATGTGTTTTTGCACATACTCAGTTCAGTCCTGGTGCTTTCTGAACCGCTTTTTTAGGTGACTGCCAAGTGCACAGAAACAGGCAACAGAGGCTCGTTTGGTGGACATGGTCTGCATAGGACTAACTCCTTCAGTGGCAGTGGATGGGGGAGTCCACATCCTGCACAGGGACCTGGCAGTGACCACCACAGTGGGAGAGGCACCTCCTGCCTTCCCTGACCCTGTGCCTGAGATCCTTATTCCTCTGGGAAGGCTTGGAAGAATTTGGGATAGGCAAACCCTGCATTTTCCCTTTGAAGTTGAGCCCCTGGGCAATGACGTCTTACAGGGCTCAGTCTCAATAGCTGTGTGGTTAGCTCCCCTGGCCAGCTGCTGAATAAACCTCATTACTGGGCTGCAGAATTGAGCTTCATGCTCTCCCTGGCTGTGAGGACCTTGTGCTCCTTTCTCCTTGATGGCAAAGCTTCAGGAGGCAGTGGTAGAGAAGCCTTGGCCCTGTGCTGCAGAAGCCTGCTTATTAAGGCCTACTGCCCAGAGGTGGAAATGAGGCTGCTGAGCTTCCCTCAGGCCAAGGCAAGTCCAATCTGCTCCTTTACATATCCGGCAGAGGTGGAGTGGTGTATGAATGGTGCTTTGCCGCTGCTTCCTTTTCCAGCTCTGCCTTTTAACCAAAGCACCTGAGGTTGCTGTATTTCGTGCCCAGCTCAGAGATGAATGGCATCGGAGACATCCTCAAGAGTGCTGTTACAGGGCTCGGCAGCAACCCCAAAGTTAATTTCAAGCCACTAATTTGCTTGCAAGAGCTCCAGGAGTTAGTGGTGGAAGAGAAGGTGCAGACGTTTTAGGCCTTGCTGTTACTGAGCTGGCCCTTCCCTGTCCTGCATTGTTCTGGAAGTGTTACGGGAGGTATCAGGATCACTCATTTGGTGGATGAGGAGACTCACAGGTGAAAATGTTTTGCGAAGGCAACAGACCATGAGGGTGGTAGAGCTGAGGTTACAGTGTAGGTTGCCTCGTCCTTGGTCAGGACTTCTTTCTGTGGCCAGTGATCAGCTTCAATGTTTATAAGAATATTTATTGTGTGCCGGGACTTGCAAATGGTTATGAATGTGCTTTGGCTGTTGTCTTTGCAGCTGAATAGACCTATTAGCTTCCCACTGGAAACATTTTTGTGCTCTTTGCACGTTGTCACTTGGGAGGGGAGCACGTATTTATGTCAGTCATTAGCAAAGTAAATGCACCTCTGGACCATTGCTGCTGCATTACAGCATTTTTCAGTTGATTTTCTAACAGAGGCAGATTCCACTGAAGTCACCTGATTAACTTGCTTGGTTTAACCATAATCCCTGTGATTTAAATCTCTTTTCTGGGCTCAAATCAGAGAACAAGAGTAAATAAGACGAGCAAGTCTCTTACGAACATTCCAATTTCCTCTCCCTGCCAGTGAGTTGAGAAAAAGTGCTACGGTTAAAATGGCAGCCAACACCTGTGGCTCTGGCAACATCCACTGAGGTGTGTTTTTAACATTCAGTGAAATTGTGCCAGTTCAGTAAATTCGGAATCAAGTGGTATTAAATTTTGCATCTTGATGCATCAAGCCAACAGGGGGGCTTCTGTTGGGCGAGATTTGTTATTTTTGTTATTTGAATCCTTGTTTAGAAGGGTCCTTTTTTTTTTTTTTTTTTTTTTTTTTTTTTTGGTTTTCCCTATTAGTTACTACTTTTTGTGCTGTTGTATTTTATGTGGTCTCTTGTGCTATGGATTTTAATGATTCCATACATTCACATGAAAATTGCTGTCTTACTTAGCACTGAGCATTGCCATTTGTTTAATTTTAGGTTTTCACTATTTGGTTAGTACGGTCACTTAAAAGAAAGAAAAACATGTCTACAAAAAATCAGCTATTAAAGAGAGAAATAGAGAAGCTATTCTGTTGGGTCACATCTGAAATCCACAGAGACCAATGATGTATTTTTGTTAGTGGCTTCTGCCATGGCTTCTTGAGGAGGGTCTTAACAATCTCTCAGGAGGTGGATGGTGGATAATG